TGTTCTGCCATTCGTTTATCAAAGTTTCTACCAGTTTGACCGATGTTAGTTTTTGGGCAGTCGCCACATTGAAGTTTGTACACACCACTATTTAAGTGTTTTTTATTTTGGCTCTTGTTATTTTTAATATATTTACCTAGGTTGTTATTTGTTCGGAAAGCTGGTGTTATTCCTTTCTTTTTTATGTGTTTGGCAATTTTTGTTGTTATTTTGCCTGTATATGTAATCGAGCCACCAAACAATAGTTCCACCACCAGATAAAAAACCCAGTACCTTCTGCTCGATTACATATACAGGCAAAATAACAACAAAAATTGCCAAACACATAAAAAAGAAAGGAATAACACCAGTTTTCCGAACAAATAACAACCTAGGTAAATATATTAAAAATAACAAGAGCCAAAATAAAAAACACTTAAATAGTGGTGTGTACAAACTTCAAAACGAATAGCAGAACATAAAATGGCTTTCAAGAATAGAAAAACAGATTCGACATACGCACTTCACCTTCTAGATCATAATCATTCTTTTAATGACAAATTTAAAATTCTTCACATTCAAAATAAAGGCCATCTTTGTTAGAATCTATGGAAATCAACAAATTAAAAAACACAGATATAATTCTGAATGACCAACTTGAGACAAACAGTTCTCCCCTCCTCAGCCTATTTCATTAGAGACTATAAATTTGTAAACCCAAGAGAAAAATAGATCACTTAAGAAAGACTATCAGCCGAAACACGTGTAGTGATAAAATTTAAAATAAATTTTGTGGAAGTTTGAAAACAAGGTTTTCAGTGTTTTATTGTTACATATCGCTAGGTATTTTAAAATTTCAGAAGCACTACGGAAATGGCCAAATATGCCAGTAGTAGAAAGAGTATGCACCAAACCTTTCACGATTCCACCAGTTCTTCCGCACGAGAAGCCGCTTCATATCAAAGTTGGCCAACTGATCACCATCTTATCCTATGGAATCCACCATGACCCACGGTATTATCCAAACCCGGAAGTTTTCGACCCAGAACGATTCAACGTAGAAAATAAAGGAGACATTAAAGGTACTTATATACCTTTTGGTTTAGGACCAAGGAGCTGTATTGGAGCTAGATTCGCGTTGATGGAAACAAAGTTATTCTTTTTGTATATTTTAAAGAACTTTAAAATTGTACCAACTAATAAAACTGATATACCTCTTGTATCAAGTGCAATTTCTTTTGCATCAAAAAATGGGTTTTACATGGGACTAAAACGAATATAGTGTAAATCGGTCTTAAATTATGTAGTTGTCATTTAAAACTCTGTTTGAAGTTTGTGAATTATTGGTAGATATGAGTATAAATTGGTAATAAATATTATTAATAAAATGTTGACGATATTTACGATAGAACTAATTTCCTATTTGTCCTATTTCCTACTAACTGACATCAATACTATTAATTTAATTTAATTTAATCTTAGTATCTCCTAATCTCGACACGCAGAAACATGATTCAAATCTTATCAAAAAACCCTTTTCAGGGCTTTCCTATTAGAAAATTGAATCTTCAGTTCGAATTTGTTACATTGATATAGAAAACATAAGCTACGCCAGAAACCAAGTATCTATCAAGGATACTAAGGAGTCATTATAATAAATTAGTTGCCATTCAGGAAACCCACTATTTAACAGATCTCCTAAAAAGGAGGAAAATACCAGGCTACGAATCGATGGTTGCTACCTAACATCAAACATACGGCACTGCCGCAAAACCAAAATAAACTTAAAAAACCCATTCCTTGTTACTATGCGAGCGATATACAAACCGTACAAACCGTTGAAAATTTGGAGATGTCCAAGGTACAACGAAACATTTAAAGAACCTATTACAGAATACTGGATTAAGTGCATATCATGTGCTGAATTGTGGCATGAAAAGTGCAGTGCCTATGCAGGTTTTGGATCTTATAAATGTGACCAATGTTTATAAAATTATGTGCACATAATATGAGCTTATTCTCCATTCGCTTAGCTAGGGCATATTTTGACAGACTCATTGTCGGAAACCTACAACACAACAATTCCTACTTCTCAGTATTAATATCTCAAGTATACTACTATTGCAGACTTCTTTCTTTGAAAAAAAGAAGAATTATTCGAAATAGTGGAAGTGTATACTAAGCCCATCAAATTTTCCCTGTATATTTAAAATATAATATTTGAATTGTTACAATTTAAAATATTGTAGTAAATATTTGTATTATTCGCGTTGTTTATTTAATTTAATATAGTTTTATTATCTTTGTTTAATTATTTTGTTAGTTCTATTCAGTTAATTAGTTAGTTATATTTTAAATTTTATTATTATGGATGGTCAAAGTTTTCCATTTGTTCCATCAGCTAATGCGTTGGTAAGTTTTTCTTAATAAATATGATAAAATGTTTTTTAAAAGTTAATATTTTTAGATGAGTAAGGATGCTGTTCCTAGATTACAAGGTAATGAAACTGCACAAAGGTTTATTCAAAATGCCTACCATTTTTTTTTTAATTATTTGCCGAATGAAAACCCTGTTGAGGTAAGTTGATCATTAAAATGTCCTTATCGAATTATGTAAATGTTAAAAATGTCCTTGATAACAAAAATATTTCAGTTAACATCCAAATGTCTGAAAGTCTCAGAAAAAAAGTGTGCGGAGATATAACGATGGTCATAATACAACCTTAACATAGAAGTACAATCGCAAAATGAAAATTAACGACAGACTTAAATCATAGTATCAAAAATCAAATTCGCTTAGAAATTTATCGGATGTATGAAGAAAGTAAGTTTTTATTATATATAAAAAAATATATTTTATAAAAAAGTTATGCTAATTTAGTTTATATATTTAAGTTGCGCCAAATGTAGGCAACCAACTTAAGTTTTTAAATTCTTTATTATCAATCCTCTTCTAAATCCTCTTAGCATATGGAAGTATACTTATTTTGTAAGATAATAAAACCGCAGTTTATGTTAATGGCATTCAATGAACTGTTAATCGTTAATCATTGATTCCATCCTAGTCACAACATAAGGAACTTGCTGTGTCCCATTTAACCTTACTTTGACTTCTTAATTTTGTAGAATTTATTCCCACTGTTTTTATTTTGTACAATAAATAATTTTATTATTTGTTATCAATAAATTATACGGTGTAAATAAATAAAGATTGATTGTCAGTAATTCGCAAAGTTCTATTTTATTTACTTTTGATTACAATAGTATTGACTAAGAGCACGTATGCTTGGTTGTATAGTAATTTCCAGCCACTTCCACAAAAAAAATAATTACTAAATTCACTATGGTCTGTTTTTTAACCAGGAGGATTAATTCAAATTTCCCGCGTCGTAATGCTTGTTTGCAATTGGTCCAACCGCAGGCAAATTTACTCCACTAAATTATGACATATTGACACTAATGACACATTTGTAAAATTTATTTATTGTTATTATTTTCCTCTAATATATAAAACGATTTCTGACTCTTTAAATTCAAGTTGTTTGTAATAACTTGGACTTGCTGATATGCGAATAGTATTTAATGTGATATTTTTCTAGATGATATTTATACTAAATATAGTTTAAAGTGTTTATAAATTTATAAATGTATGTTATTTATATCTAATTATCATAAGAAAAACGGCACCTATCTTTTAAATTTAGTGTATACTTGTTAAGAAGCATTTCCATTTTGTTTTCATCACAATAAAAGAACATTAGTAAAGTAATGTGTTTTAGTTTGATTGTATTGATACAGTAGGTTTGTTCTTCCTGGTTGTAGATCATCACAAGAAAACTGAAAATTATGCAAGAATGTAACATAATAGATTGGATTTGTTGATTATCTCACAGAAATCCAGCATTTTTTAGTAAATTTTATTTGTTGATAACAAATGGGACAAACTCACTGTCAAAATTAAATAAGAATCCAGCATTAAAGAAATTGTAAGTACACACTTATTTATACAAAGTATCTGGTAAAAAAAAACTAGATTCAAGAAATTGATCATACCAGAATAAAAATATGGTCTACTATTAAAAGAAAATTTCTGAGAATACCCATACTTTAATCTGTAACAATATTGACTCTCCAGATCAAAATATTCTCTAAATTATAATTAAATACCATAGACTCGAGAGATCTATAAAACTGGATCACCCGATATTTAAATATATATACATGGGACCAAATGTGAAAAAAGTCCTTTTTTATTGTAATAATTCTAATATAATATATATTGGAAGTGAGTTGAAAAAAAAATATTTTATTATTTAAACATAAATAAAGTTAGGTTAAAATTGACGTGTGAGGTTGTACGATATCGATTACTCGATTACCGCAAGGCAGATGTATTTGGTGACTTTTCTAGTAACTTTCTTGGGTGTGAATCTGTCTTTTTGGTTTACTCCTCCTGGTTAAAAAACAGAGTATAGATAGTTCGGACTGGGAATAGCGAACCGGGTATACAATCCAAAATGCGTACTTTTATAAAGCGGGTTTATAAGAGTGCGCAAAAGCACTTTTTTTAGTTTCACTTTTTCTATTAAAGTAATAATATTTAGTTCGCAAATTATAATTGATTTTTTTTTTGTTTACGAGTCAACAGGCTTAAATAAAAATAAATATACTTTCAACGCAATTGGTTTGGATTTTACACTTGATTAAACCGTAAGTGCTCAATATTGAAGCACTCTACCCTAATTTCTAAATTGAATTAAAAGAATCTTTTTATAAACTTTTTTATCTTTTTTGTTTTTAATCGTTTTTAATTGTTTTAATCGTTATTAAATCATATATACTCCATCTGACGATTGAAACACGAGTGATTCTGATTGAATATAACTCTGTTTAAAATAATTGCTTTGCCTTGCGTATAAAAATGATTGTTTTATAAGAGAACTTTAACGTTGTCTATAGCGCACGATAGTACGTATTCCATTATAGTAAAATATATGATAATTTCAGTTAATGCTTAAATCATTCTCTTTAAATTTTTATCTCGAGTATCTCGTTTAACACATACAAACGTTGAAATCAGAATTTGGTTGTAAAGTCGTTTGATTGTTCAGTGTGTGCAAAAAATTTGTTGAGTATATTTATAAAAGTGTTTATTTTTAAATTAGAGGTGTACACTTGCCGTGAAGCCACGTAAGTCAAATTTATCTTTATTCTATGAAACAATGTGACGTCCCTGAACTTCAGAGGATAATAGGGCAATTTCGCCAGTTAATGAACTGGAACCAAATCGACAAGGAGGTGATCTCATTCAAGTATTAGAACCTAAACACCGCCAATAAATACATTTATCTATTGATGCAAAACAAATTTTTGCCAATGTTTTTTACACTCTTGTCGAAAAAAACATGGACTGTAACAAAGTCTTACATGAAACGGCAACTTTGACTAAAGAGACATTATCCACAGTCAGAAAAATTATAAGTAATCCTATTATACCAAGATTAACAAGACGTGATAACAGTATTTCTTGGAACCTCAATCGTGCAGATGAAGATCTTATTCGTCGCAAAGTTTATGTCTTGATGAAAAACAAATATGTATATATATATATATATATATATATATATATATGTATATATATATATATATATATATATATATAATATAATATTATAATTCATACTCGTGTAACATAGTTTCGCATTTGTTTATATAAAATATGTTTAGTAATTTGAATCGAGGACATTCATAAATAATATACTCTAATTAGAATTTGTAAATCAGCACTATTGCCAATCGCGACATATACTTGGTGTAGGTCAGGAAACAAACTCGACACGAATAAGTAAAGTGCTGATACAGGCAAGGCCAGGGCTATTAAAAGCGACAACAATCATTATCTGAGATCAGAACTAATTTAACGTCAATATGGCAAGTTGGCAACGCATTGTCACAACGTCAACTAAGTACTATTAAATTTAAGATAAGTAACATTGTAAGAGTGTACAGTAGTGTTTTCAATAAATGTACCATGCGATACCATAAGTAAAGCATTATTTATTACAACAATACAGAATTACTTATATAATAAAGACATTTATTTTTACATAAATAATACTAAAACGGATTTATTGGACATTTTAAAAAGTTTCGCATTGAAAAAAGATTACTTTTGTGATAATTACGCCGAAAATATGGGTCGTTATGATTTTAAGACTTCCGCCATATTACTGTATATTTAACAAAATCGAACATGTGTGACAAAAACTTAAGTCAAGAGTTCGAAGAAATAATAATTCGCCACATTTAAATGCATCTGTCCTGCATCTAATTAAAAGGAAAGTACTCAACATTGATGCGAATAGTTGGAAAAATGCAGTCTCACGTATCGTGAAAGCTGGGAACTCATATTTTCCTACACATAATTTACAAAATATTATCATCAATTTAAGAGACCACAGTGATAGTGACACATATTTGACATAATACCTATGTGTTGTAATATTTATACTCGTTTTGTGTGTGTGTGTGTGTGTGTGTGTGTGTGTGTGTGTGTGTGTGTGTGTGTGTGTGTGTGTGTGTGTGTGTGTGTGTGTGTGTGTGTGTGTGTGTGTGTGTGTGTGTGTGTGTGTGTGTGTGTGTGTGTGTGTGTGTGAGTTTATTTTGTATTTTATAGTTTTTCACAGTTTTTGTGCTAGTTTTCACAACCAACTGGCCAGTCAATTTCATAATGATTTTTTTAGATTATTACTTATCACTAACTCAGGGGAGCAACGTGTAGTGTCTGCGTTAGGTAAATGTCTTGTTATAAAAGTAAAGTCGAATTCATTGCTTTACAAAGAGACGCTAATTGTATCCGAACGTCTGCGGTCCCTCCGGTGAGTACCGATTTACTCGTTTTAAAAGGTTGTTGTCAACGTTGTTGCCAACTTTTTCAGACATACTTTATACCTTACTAATAATTGAAAAACTTCTTCCCTTACATGGAATATAAAATATAATCATATTCAGCTATATGTATATACCTACATTAATTCATTTTAATTTTCACTTCACCAATTTATTATTTCACTTGCAATTTGTTTAACCTAACAAAAATTGTTTATTACTTTGAAAATTTGGATATATTTAATAAAAATATAATAATACTCCATCAGTTTATGTATTTTTTCCCTTAATTATCTAGATATTTATTTAAATTAAATATGTAGGTAATGTAAATGCAAAATACAATATAAAATTGTTAAGCCGGCCTTTTTTTACGATTTACCTGAAGAGGCAAATCTCTTTATGACTTCGACTTGATCAGCGGGACACTTTTAAATTATGCATGTTCTTATAATTATGTATTGTGAATAAACATAGGAATACATTTTTGTTTGGCTGTCCTCGTATAAGATCCACTGCTGGCTAGATTAGTCATCACCATCACACAGATGTAAATTCTATTGACCACGACCTTCGCTAATTCAACGGATGAAATCGAGAGTGGAGTGAGTAGAAGTGGGCTAAACGAGTATTTCTCTGTAACAGTTATCCTGTTACAAGTATTTTTTAATACCTAGTCCTATTTAGTAGAAATACTAGTTACAATATGCCTGTTACCTAAACAGGACAAGAAAATAACTGTAACAATTGTGATAAGTTTTATTATTGTTGTTGTTACGGGTACCTACCCGTTATCGTATTTCAATAATAACTATATTAAAATCATGAATGTGTTGCTTGTGTAAGTCCATTTCAAATAGGTAAAGAAATAATAAATAAGACTTACTCACAATCAATTTAATTTAACTATCAGACGACCGGTTTCGCTTTCTACAATATGCAAAGCATCTTCAGGTCTCGATACAAAGTTAAATAAATGCTGAAATGATAAAAACCCATATTAGAGTGTTGTCTAATAAAGATAAACAAAGTAGATGTTGTAAATTACAATAATTATGCCAATATTACATGTCTGTGGTTTTATTTTAAAATGAGTAAGTTGAATAAAAAGGTATAAAAAGTTTTAAAAAAATTTTAACAGACAAGGTAAGGCCCACAAATTGTTATAAAATAGTCTATTCATCATCATTCAGCCCATACTCGTCCACTGCTGAACATAGGCCTCCCGTAGTTCACCCCACAAATAGTCTATTAGATTGTAATAAATTAATAAATGAGCAAATAAATAAACATTACTTACATGCCGGTACTCTATTAATTAATGGATGGTAGAACATGGTTGAAACTACTATGTATTGTTGAATGGAGAACTCAATTCTGCTATTGTAGTTGTTTGACAGTGAACGGGAAGTTCTTGAGGAGATAGGTTTGATCCAATGCAGCAGAGATATGTCTGTGATTGTTTGTTAAATGAAAGTGATGTAATATACCATTGTATTATTAAAAGTTATTTCACATGTGTTAGAGAAGTAATGTCAATATTTAATAAAGCTAAGACAAGGTTATAGGACACAATATCCCGAGAAGGTGAATGTTTGGCCGGCATTATAAACAATCAAATTAAAGGGCTATATTTTTAGACGAAAATTTAACTGCTTCTCGTTATATAGAATTTCATCAGGATTATCTGTTGCGACACCTGAATCAGCTATTTCCAAATAGAAATGATTTGTGGCACCAACATAATGAAGTTCCCCCATACTACGGCATTAAGGTACGAAATTACTTTAATAACGTTTTCCCAGGAAGTGGATAGGTAGAAGAGGACCTTTCAAATGAGCCGTCGCGTGACCTCGGTTTGTATTTAAAAAAATCGTCGATTACATCATTACGCCGACACTGATGACGTAATATATTATATAATATTGAAATACTCCAGTGAAACAAATATCTAGTAACCCCACGATAAAATGTTTTAAGTTCCAAGTACATACTAGTAATAGGTATTTTTGGTTTCTAGAAACAAATACGCTCCTCAAAAATATGTAACAGGTACAAAATACATGTTACTTAAATACCGACACACCACTAGAGTGAACTGATTACTAAATCGCTATGTTGTAACAGGCGCCGCGATCGTGGTTCCAGTATAATTTTATCAAAAAAACCTTGTGCTAGGTAAAGAATTTTGTTTATTTTGTGCGACGCTATCTAGAAATGTAAGTGTAATGTTCAATTAAGTGTTTACCAAATATTCGCATATGATAATTAGTGATTGTGCTTACGGTTAGCATCTCTTTATATTATGTTTTTTATATTAATAGAACTGGATGAGATAATGACGATTCAATTCAAATTTTAATTGCTATGCATTTACGCACCAACCTAATGTACAAAAAGTAATTATATATATATATATATATATATATATATATATATATATATATATATATATATATATAATATATATATATATATATATATATATATAGTAAAGACTCGTAATGCAAAAATTCGGATAACTTACTCTAGTGCCCTCTATGTTTTACTAGAGACGCTAAAATATTATTCGGCGACCTGGGTTCATGCTAAAGTGGACATAGGTTTTTTGTTAATCAGATTACAGGTTTCTTTAAAACAGAACTATCCGATAATAGACAACTATCCGATATTATCGCACTTTAATCTACTATAGTGGTTTTGTGTTATTCTTCATTCTGTGCTCCATCCAAGACTTTGCAAGGTTATGGACTGAATTTCCAGGTTGACTGCCAGCCTCCTTTTCCTTGCATTGCCAAAGAGCATTTGAGGACCACATATGGTACTCAGTCCAAAAGATAAGTTCAAATATTGAGCGCCATATATGGTACTCAGTATAACTTACAAAACTGCATACCGTGTACCTCAGCAGCCACTTGGCTTGTACATTTTATATGGAAAAATTATTAAAAATATGGCCTCAGAAAACCATTCCATGATTTTAGGCCGTATCTAGATGGTTTATACTTTTTTTATAAAGGTCGTTTATCAAAGACTAATAAAAGCGATTTTTAAACGCTTAAATATTTATTTAACAAGTAGTGTAAATCTAGAAAATGGTACGAAAAATAGTCGACAACTTAACATAAATCCTAACGAAGAAAAATTTCTGTAGTTTGGCAGCATACAGCTTAAAAAAGCAGTAAAAACACAAATAATTCGCACAAGCAAAACAATTTATCCACACACGTGAAGTCTACTTTTGTGCTGTTTGTCTTTCATCCTTGGTAACGATATCCCTATAGCATTAGCTGCAGTGGTTTTTTTTTAGACATTTTATCAAATTGTGTAAATTATTAGCAAGCATTACACAATCGCGTTTAATAAGAATATATTTGATAATTTCCTCTCTAAATATTGTTATTTTTATTGATTCATTTGTCACTGTAGAATAAAGTGACAAGGCATTTACAACGGCAACATTTAATAAAATATCAAAGGCAAATTTTTGGTACCGTTTCAATGACCTTGTTAAAAGTGAATTATACGAATTCATTTGATCCGATACATCTATGAAGGAGTTTCCTGCATTATTCCACAATTTTGTAACAGTACCTTAAAATAAACTCAAATCGGTTTCTGGCCATGATGCCCACTCTGCTTGTCAATGTTTTCAGTGCTGTTCAATGACATTTTATCTGGTGTGCATAGAACAATTAACCCGGTTTAATTTATTTACGGCAACCATAGACATAATATGCACGATTTTATTCCTACTTTTAGTTAAAGAATAGATTAAATTATTTCAAATTTACTAAATTACTTAATCTCTACAAATTTAAATTACAGTTTTGTCGTAGCTTGTCACAAATTTCTTAATTCGAGTCTATGTTTCCGTTTAAAATATGGCGATCGCATGCTGACACACTTAAAAGGCGGCATCTGAGAGTGGGCATTCTGATTGTTATATTTATTCTGTTGTATCGGTAAGCAGCAACAGACAACTAAAGTACCTGTTAGAGCTTGCAAAAAGCTTTTTCTATATTTGCCACTACTAATAGGATGGTCAAATTTTCAAAATATGAAATATTCTATTGGGACCGTGCAAGTTCGGAACAGCGACAACTGGTGTCGTAAATCAGCAAAATTTACTGCGCTTTTATGTTAGATCGAGGTAACCGGATAACTGTCAAGGACGTGAGCCCAAAAAAGAATAAGAAGAAAAAGTAAGATTGAGGTTATGTCGGTATGTTATTAAAAGGTAAACGTTGATGTAGCGTAAATAAAAATAAATATATTATTGAATTACAGCATTACTGTTAATATGGATTCAATAATAAAAACTGGATTTGAGAAAGTAAATCACCAAATAACTTTTCAACCAATCACTGAGTCAAAGGAAAAAGCTTTAGTAGTGGCAAATGTCAAAAAATGCTTAATGGAAGAATTAAGAAAAATAAATTACCATAAATATTGCTAATGCATGAATTAGCAGGTTAAGCCCATGATATCATTATATTGGTTTGAACAATTAATTCTTTCCCTGTAAACTTTTGGACAGCGAATATATCTTAATGCATCTTCAGAAAAACTTGAACTTGATGCATTCTTGTAAACTTCAAAAAAATAAAATTTAAACATTAAACTTGATTTTTGGGTTAAAATGAACTAACTCTAAGTGAGTGTTATGAAACTAAAATTTACACTTAAAAGTGAACTTTTATTTATTATTTATTTCAAACTGACTTTAAAATCGGGCGCAAGAATAATGCATAATTTGGGTTATGTTACTTATGCTTTTTTATGATATAAATCCACTTTTCTCTTTGTAGTAGCTTTGTGCTTCGAAGTTGGAAACGAATAAGACTTAAATTGACAATTTTTTGTTGTATTTTTACAATTTATAACACAGCATTTCCTAAATCCCATTTTTTTCAGTGACAGAAGGTGTAAATAAACAAAACGAATATGAAATATGACAATTGACAATATGAATTTATGAAATCTATAAATTATTGTCTTTTATACTAAAGCCAATACAGTAAATATATGATCAGACCATTTGCTTATTGTTTTCCAGGAAATAAGAGACAAATAATAATACTACTTTTTATTTCAGAGCAGGGATAATGTTTTGGATCCTGGTGGCAGTGTTGCTGGCAACACTGTTTTACTACTTTTGCTATAAACCTTCAATATATTGGAGGGAACGTGGGGTAAAACAACTTGATTTTCCCAATGTTTTAATAGAGAATTATTTTGGTTTCTTTAAACCAATCCCGCTGGTGAAGCTCATATCTAACCTGTATAATAGATTTCCAGGTACAAGGTGAGTTTTTATTGTGGTTTTTTGGCAATATAATAATTTTCCGGATTTTTTGAATAAAGTAAAATTAAGCGGGAAATAGTTTATGCTACATATTCTCTCTAATTTAATGCCTGTAGGATTATGGAGATTGTTATATAATTAGGAAAAAATAAACAGTACCTTCGACTATTTTGGTTGGTGCTTGTAACACCAGTAAGCTTGTAAGTTGAATTTCTGCTTTCCTAATTATTTTACATCCAAAGTCATAAGAAACTATTCGTATGGAACTGAAATCTATATTAAAACAAATGTTAAAATTGTTCTACGAACTAAGAGTACTCCAACATACTAATTATAAATTATCCACCAAGAACTAGCTGACAAACTGGGACTTCTCCAAACCGACCTACTTCCGTGTTATCAATTCTTCTCTGACATAATACTTGAGAATGACAACTACAATACAAGCTATAGTGGGACCGCACTGTGCTTACAGACCAACCAGTGGCGATAATAGACCTGATCTTATACTAGTTAACAAACTTACTAGGCAAACAACACTTATTGATTTGGCGATATCCAACACCAATAATTTACGTGTTAAATACAACGAGAAGATCGCCAAGTACAGAGATCTAGAAATACAAATCAGGAGACAATGGAGAATGGAAAGTATCCAGACAGTACCTATCATTTTATCTACTACTGGTGGTATTCCCAAAAACCTCATAGAGAACATAAAACAGCTGGATCTTAATGAATATAAATATAAGGCAGATTTGTATGAAAATTTTTGGGAAATACTTCAACATACCAAGTCACCTAGGGCTCGATAACACGGAAAGAGTACTACCAGAGCTCAATCCTTTTAAAACTGTAGGTATCTGGGATGAGTGAATTTTTCCATTAGAGGAAGTGTCTTTATTAACAAACAAATTAATTTTCCTTTACAATCAAATATTATATCAGTAGGGTGAGATTCAGTTTGTATACCACTGTGTAACAGAGGCATACAACTGTTCTTCCACCTAACCCCCCGAAGATAGGAGAGACAGACTCTATTTAAATAATGAAACTGTATTTTAGAATGAAACTGAAAATGAAAATAAAAAAAGATGCTTTCTACAAATGTCTTGAAGCGTCACTAGAATAAATTAAAAGATCCGATATTAAAGTGATGCCAAGATTGGCACTGACAACATTAACCTATGACAAGTTATGGGAAAGTATGGTTTTGTTAATATTGTTCTGAAGCTATTTTCTTGTGGCATTGTTAATTAATTACTATTAAACTGGGAATAAGCCACAATTAAGTCGTCTACTTTAAAATGCATAATGTATGTCTGAATTGTCAATATAAATGAGTCAGATAAAATTAAAATATTAGAAGAATTTTTCACTATGTAACAAAAAACAAAATTTGTTTAATTTACTGTTTGTATTTTGAGAACGATTTCCGAAGTGGAAATTGAAACGTCAATAAACGTATTTTTATCTTTAATTGTGGCTTATTCCCAGTTTAATAGTAATTAGTATGGTTTTGGTCAGAGAAACGGCAATGGCGAACGCTTCCTTGAACTGTGTGGTAACCATAAGCTAATCATTAGAGTACCTAACTTAAAGTTACTCTAATGCGAATATAAAATAAGTTTATTGACGTTTCAATCTCCACTTTGAAAATCTGAAAATTTGAAAAAAAAAATGAAAAGTGGAGATAAACTTATTTTAACCTTCAATTGTGGCTTATTCCCATTAAAATAGTAATTACTGTAATTTTGCAGCTTCAAACATAGTTGTAACGTTTCACTTAGCTATCTTTTGGACTTCCATGACACGGAGTTTTCGTGGGTTGACGACCTGGGAGGTACCGTGGTCTGGTTGTAATCTTCCTTTCCTGTCAGATCTTGGATTCCGAAGTCCATGATCATTAAATGTATGTATAGCTTTCTTGTTTGTTATGGAAAGCTGTACTAGAGATATTCACATGGATATGTAATGTAGTGGTTTCTCTTGGTCTTCTAGATCCTGATGCCGTTGACCATTTCTTGGATCCTCCGCCTTTGAGATCGATTTCGTGGTCTCTGAACAAGAGACCTACCACTCATCAATTCATCTGCCCGAAACCGTTTAACTATTTTCTTTTAATTCTTAAATTTTTTAATTTCTGTTCAGCTAACAACTGCTCATAAATTAATCTCTTGAACTTGACACTAGAAGAGTTTTAATATTGTAGAACAAACTGTTGATGTTTCAAGCAATTGAATACGAAAATTAACGTCTAAAAAAAACAAGTTGTACTTCGTGTGTCTAAGATTAAGATTATGAACGTCATTCCTATAATTTATTGGGATGTACACGTATGGTGGAACTCTCTCTTGAATGATTTTATGGTAAAAACATAAAACATGAAGTTTCCGACGATTTTTCGCATTTAGCCACTTGTCTACGGTAAAAACATGACTTATCCTATGAATCAAATTCAGTGACACACGTATTGTAAAGCACGTTACAATAATTTAATTTTAATAATACCAGAGCATTACATAATAATGACTTTGTGGCCCTACTTAATAAATGATGGCTTTGATACAACCATTTTAAAACGGCGTAAGCTCTTTGTACCATAAATACGTCCGTGATATCTAAACCTTAAATCTTCGTCGAACCAAACCCCTAGGCTTTTAATCTTTCTGCCAAAAATTAAATTTTCATTTTCTAATATAATGCGATTGGCATAATTTTCTAAAATTATTTTCCTATGTAGATTCCTCCAAAAAATGATACCCTGAGTGTTTGATGTATTCAATTTTAAACAATGATTTTGAGAAAAAAATTTGCAGATGAAGAAGATCATGATTTATTACATTTACAGCTTAATTACACTCATTTAGATAAAATGACATATAGAGTTGGGTATCGTCTGCGTAATAATGCTGGGAACAGGACAAGAACACAAAGGAAAATTTAGTTGTGTATGTAAAGAATAAAATTGGACCTAATATAGATCCTTGAGGCACACCAGTATTAAAATCTAGAAATGAAGAAATATTTTGATTAATTTTTACTGCTTGACATCTATTAGAAAGATAGGATTTCATTAGATCAACTGCTCTCGCTTCTAGACAATTTATTTTAAAATAGAGAATAACAAATTATGGTTAAAAGTTTATTAAAAATCCTTTGTAAAAGGTATATATTAAGAACCCAAACAGGCTAAGTTAAAAAGACAAAACGTTTTCGGAATCCATATTCCATCGTCAGTGTCTAAGAGTACATGAATGTAGCCACTAAATATATGTGTAAAAACCCGTTAACAAATAATTAATTAGATTTAGTTTACAAATTTTCCTATAATGGTTTAGGATCTTAAAGTTACCGTTGGATTAGGTAACATGGCGGCATATGACTCCACGTTGAAGTTGCTAGTCTTGAGACAGTGTGTCTACGAAGACTGTATGGGAGCAACTGTTGAGTTGGCTCATTGATGGCGGTAAGTTCTCGACTTGTCTTATGCGAATTTTCCTCAATCTCTAGAAGTACATCTAACTTTTTTTCATCCATAAATTTATTATTTCTACCTGGGTTTTCAATATTTTTTACATGTCCAGTATAACGAAAGTTCTTTGCAATTGTGCTAATTGTAGACTACGAAATTTGTTGACCAGGGTATTCATTATTAACATTTTACAAACCTCCTTTTGAGCTCTTGTTTTATTACCATAACCAATCATAGTTAAAATGTCTATTCTTTTAGTCTCGGACAAATGAGCCATAATTAAATTTAATACGCGCACAAATATTATACTCACGTCTTCTAGTAACCTTAAATACCCAAATGACAGCAGCCTACTAGATTCATATCACTTGTTTATTTGGCTTTTTGACTAATATTTTATTATCTTTAAAGTTTTAACAAAATAATCTCCGAGCTCATATAAAATGTTGTATGAGAATTGCAAAATGGCCTCTGTCATTGTCAAGAAATAAATAAAAGTGGTCAAGTTGAACATTTAATTTTGTAAGTTATAATTGCACAAATTTAAAAAACTTTACATTGATAAACAGAGGACTTTGCTATTTAAAACTTTCTAGGAGGTGCGTATAATCCAAAGGGGGTGCTGGACGGGGATATTATTTTCATACTGTAAATTGTCTATTTAAGAATAAAAATCGACCTGTTTCAGGTTTTTTTCATATAATACATAATAACGCTAAAAATGAATTTATTCCATACACATGGACCACATGGTATATTATTCTCTATGGTATAGATTCCACTATGGTATAGAGTAGTAATAAATTTACTTGTATTAAACCATTTCATGATCGCTTATTTCTGGGATGTGTTTTACTTCAATTGACAAAATTTGATCCTCAGTAGATGTGATTATATAATCAAGTAGATTCGATGTGAACTGGGTGATTCAAGTTGCTTGATTTACCATCTGTTTTAGTCCAAGACCATCTAATACATCTGTAATGAACTGTGTGGAATAATTATTTGTATTTAACAGATCAACATTAAAGTCGCCAAAATAAAGTAAATGATCTAAACAGATTTAATTGGTAATATCCAACTCTCAATGCCTTAAAGTCAATTTATTTAAAATTTTAACATCCTACTTCAGCAACAATATAATCTATTACCAATAAAATAACATCTAAAGGGTGTTAATCCACATATGTGGAGGTTATAAAGACGTATACCCAGCAGCAGCACTGAAGATAAACTAATCAGTCTGAAAACGTTCTGTCATTTTGCCCATAATTTTCTGTGAAATAAATATTACTTTTATAAAGCATTTTTTAACACAAACTTTTAAAAGTTATCTCACGAAGAATATTTGTTCACAATGCTTAACTAACCTTAAGGGACAATGTTTCCAATTTAAGTATATATAATAAATGTACAGGATAATGGCAAAGTCTTATATTTTTAGTAACTTATTAGACCTTTTTAAATTAATTTTAGGTACAGTGGTATGTACCAGTTTAACAGGCCCCTCCTATTTGTAAGAGACGTGGATTTGATTAAACAGATGCTTATCAAGGATTTTGAACATTTTAACGAACATCGTGATTTTTCTAGCGAAGAAGTTGATCCATTGTGGTCAAAAAATCTTTTTTCTCTAAAAGGTAAGATTAATGTTTTTGGTAGATAAAATAGCAGCATGACCTAGAGTGTAACACTAATAAATTTTTTAATAAAACTCCAAATAACAAAACTGACATGGATTCTACAAAGAATATTCTTTTGAAAAATATTCGTAATATAGGTTGTACACTATTTATTGTCATTCAGTCTAATTTTTCATATAATTTTTCTTGTATATATGTATGTTACTCATCTTATAGTCACTATTTGACTGGTTTATATGGTTTCACGATTCAAAGTTGGTAATTATCTTTGTTTAGTGGCTAGAAAGTTCTCTACAGAGCGAATAATCACTGAAAGTACTATGCAGCAACAGAACAAACAACCGAACAAGGAAAAGATGCTTTCTACGAATGCCTTGAAGCGTCACTAGCACAAATTAATCTAATTAATGCCTTGAAGCGTCACTAGATCCGATATAAAAGTGATGCCAAAATTGGCATCGACAACATCAACCTATTAGAAGTTATGGGAAAGTATGGCATTGGTCAAAACTTATTTTAACCTTTAATTGTGGCTTATTCCCATTAAAATAGTAATTACTGTAAATTCGCAGCTTCAAACATACTTGTTACGTTCCACGTAGCTATCTTTTGGACTTCCATGACACAAAGTTTTCGTGGGTTGACGACCTGGGAGGTACCTTGGTCTGGTTGTAATCTTCCTTTCCTGCCATCTTGAATTCCGAAGTCTACGATCATTTAATGTATGTATAGTTTCCTCGTGTGTTATGGAAATCTGTACTAGAGATATCCACAAGGATCTGTTTCTCCTGGTCTTCTACATTCTGATGCCGTTGACCATTTTTTGGTTCCTCCGCCTTTGAGATCGATTTCGCCGTCTCTGAACAAGAGACTGCCCTACCACCCACCAACTCATCTGCCCGAAACCGTTGGTCAGTAAGTAGGATTGTTTATACCGGCAAATATTCGGTAAGAAGTAGTTATAGAAGAAGTGATAGAAGTAGAAAATTGGAAAAGTGGAACGTCTGCCTTCGGAAACCTAATAGCCATTTGAGGTCGGAGTAATTATTGGCCAAGTGAGGACTTTAGGAAATATTAAAAACATTTTGTTAATATTGTTCTAAAGCTATTTTCTTCTGACATCTCAAAGCAATTACTATTTTAATAAGAATAAGCCACAATTGAAATTGAAAATAAGTTCACTGTAGAAGCTAAAAACTAGACTTTTAATAAAAAATTATTTTAGTTAAATTATGTCATATCTACATGTAAAACTCTATTTCAGGCAACAAATGGAGAAATATGCGATCTACCCTTAGTCCTTCCTTTACCAGCAGTAAAATGAAAGGAATGCTCTACCTAATAACAAATGTAGCTGATAAGTTCACCAGTTACTTCCTTAATCAAGATAAAGACCTCATCGAGGTCGAAATGAAAGAACTGGCTAGTCGATATGGAACAGATGTGATAGCATCGACAGCTTTTGGACTTGAAGTCGATTCATTGGAAAATCCCAATAACGAGTTCTTTTTAAAAGGAAAAGAATTTTTGGATTTGAGGAGCATAAAAGTGATGGCAAGATTTGTAATAGTAATGTTCTTTCCAATAATAGCAAAGGTAATGAAGCAAATTTCTTGTTTAAAGAATCATATTGTATGTAAAACCTTTTTTATTTCTTGTCTTTCGTTCTGATCTAATAATTAATATTGTTTTTAGTTGTTTAATATCAAATTTCTGAGTGTTCCTATTACAAATTTCTTTACAAAAATAATACAAGACACTATTAAACTGAGAGAAGAAAAAGGTCTAGTAAGACCAGATATGATTCATCTTTTATTGGAAGCTAAAAAGGGAAATATACATTCTGAAGATCATAACATTGTCGATGCAGGATATGCCACAGTGGAGGAACATCTGAAAGGTAAGAATTATAGTATTTGGGGAATTATATGGAAATTATGAAATAAGAAATTGGTGTTCAGTCAAGTCTGTAGTTAATTTGTTCTAGATTATAGATGTAGTATCTTGAAAACTTATAAAACAATATCTTTAATTATTTGGACACCTCCTACGTAGAATATAATAAGTGCATTCGGTCAACTGTACAGTACAGCTGTTTAAAGGTTTTCTCATTATTTATTGATTATTGTTCAGTGAGGTAACAACCAATATATTTGAAAATTTGCATATTAATTAAGAAATAGGTGGGTAATAATCCTGAGCAGTACTTGAATTAATAATATTTCTTGTTTTCGAAAAAAATCACTTACAATATTTTAAGTTGACCAACATAAAAAGTATATTATAGTATGTAACACTTACTATGAATTACGTTGGACACTATACAAAACTTTATTGGGGCTAGATTTAATTAACTTGTGCTCGATAATAGCCTTATTTTCAAAGTTCATTTATTCGAGCATTCAACCTCATTTCATTTTTCATCTATACAAAACTATTTGTCGTATATCTTAGATACCATATTCTTCTCCTGTGTCCGTCCCAGCTTGCGCTGATTTAAGCGGAGACTCTTGTGTATTTCGCAGAAGACGGACGGGCGGGGCGTCCTCAACCCCGCAACGCCGCGTCCCACTGGCTGATAGGGAAATGTCTTACAGATATGTAGCATAGGTATGAATAAGATTTTACCAAATAAGCACCCGCGGACCAACTGAGGATATTGCATAGCGCAGCAGCTATGACATTACTTCATTAAGGCTATAGCAGAATTATTTCTACTGTTGGCTTAATGTCAGATACTTACGGGCGGATATCACATAATGATTTAACCGGCCGTAATACTGCGATCAGACAGGCAAGGGAAAACCTTTTATATTATATTCCCGTGACTACTTTCTGATTAGCCAACTAGTTCAAATGGCCTACCAGGCATGTGTTTGTGAGCAACCAGGCAATACATGCGAAATTCGCGCCTAACAGAAAATCAGATTTTCAGTTAAGAAATGCAATGGGAATAGCAACCTGGGATGTCCGAGGATTATTGCAACCAGGCACACTGCATATACTACAAAGAGAAGTCGAAAGATAGGAAATAGAATATAGATTTGGATATGCGAACTCCGAAAGTCCGCATATCCAAAGATAGGATATGCGGACTTTCGGAGACCCATTAGAAAGGACAAGAACACTTCCGAACGGTAGATCATGTTGTATACATATCGGGAGCAAATAACACAGGAAGAAATGGTGTTGCAATTATGGTAACTAAAAAAGTTTCACAATACGTGTATGATTACCAACCGATAAATGATAGACTTATAAAAATAACCTTACTAGCATCACCAAACAAAATGCATATTGTGAAAAGACAGCAAATATTTGATTTCACGCAAACAGCGCCTTTGTATCTGTTGATACGTATTTCGACCTAATAGGTCTCATCAGAAAAGTTATTCAAAGGTGTTCTCAACGTGAAAGATCAATATTTTGTCTTTTAAGAAGCAACACCAAAATGTCTTCGATACGGACGCAATAGCGACATCTGAAAATAAAACCGGATTAAAGCGGAAATCTGAATTGTGTTTCGAAACTAGTTTACGGTTTTATCCGTAAACTACACCACGTTTTCCGTAAACACTTTTGTTTTCTGATTACCACTATGCAAGCTTCTTGGATTTCCACAACTCTGGGCCCATAACCTTTAGGGATGCGTGATGGAAAAAGTCTTGCTTATAGATGGAATACTAAAACAATACGTTGACAAAAATAAACGTTTTATTCTAACATAAATTGTTGTTTACATGAATGTCTTAACTCTCCTTCTTGACATTGACACTTGTCACTTACAGGTAATGCCAACACTTAACATAAAAATGTACAATATAGAATTGTCATACCCACAACTTTGGGGATGGAATGTGTGTGTTATCTTCCTCTGACTTTTTCTCTGTTGATTCTAAAAATAATTTAATGTTACCATTGTGTACCTATAAATAATATTTTTATTTATAAATATTTACCAGAAAATGGGGAAAGAGGAACGTTATTAAAATCTTCAGACCTTCAGTTTTAATTGTAGAGTATTTCGACATATTATGTACGGACTGGTGTCGTTTTTGCACAAAACGTGAGTTTATCTTAGAGAAGTCTATTCCGCATAAAAAGTTAGTTTCTGAAAATTGTGGACTGATGCACTTTTTAAAATGATAGATTCAATTGTAATAAATAATACACCCTATAACTTCTACTATTGTTGATGTCGTTGATAATATAATATTCGAGAAACTTTATTTCTTTTATACTATATTTTCTTTTATTTTAGCTGATAAAACCGCCGAAATAACTGAAGATGACATTATCGCTCAAGCTTTTATTTTTTTCTTTGCCGGTTTTGATTCAAGTTCTACTCTTATTAGCTTCTTGGCCTATGAACTTTGTGCTAATCAAGATATTCAAGAAAAACTTAGAGATGAAATTAAAGACACATTAGACAGCTGTAACGGAAAACTCAATTATGAAGCACTTGTGAACATGAAGTATATGGATATGGTTGTTACAGGTAAAATAGAAAATTATATATTTAAATTAAGTGTTGTCTATTTTAAAAATTTATTTCATAGATGAAGGTAGTGAAAGTATATTTAAAATAAAATTCACCTTATCAAATGAAACAGAGCAATACCCTTCTTTAGTTGTAGCAAAGCAATGCCCTTTATCAAGAGGAAACAGATCCAAGACGAATAGTAATTCTGGATACTTAAATGATTTTTACCAGCTCCGAAAAAAAGAAGGAAGACTATAGATGTATATTGTATATACAATATAATCTATAGAACCTAGTAAAAAATATTATCAACCCTGAGCTCTCGTTAGTCAGTGGAAGACAAGTTTCTACTCCTGGAGCATGATGCAGCCTAACTGGATGGGAAATATGCTTCACTTCGTCATGGTAGCTTCTCCAATAACAACTCTTAGACCTTTTAATCAAAGTCTTACGCTCCTTTTGTGTCTTATTAAAGTAAACTAGTAATAAAAGAATTCCTCTTGACCCCGTTAAAAATATCTCGGCTTACCTTGTGCTTGTTTCTAGCAGAGAATCGTAGAGCTACTAGAGAACAGCTAGCCTCATGTGCTAAGATGATATCTGGATTAGTGATCCTCAGATATGCTTTTCTCCTCAACCCTGACCTGACACAAAGGAAAACTCACGTGGTTTTAACTGATGACCTCACGAAAAAGTTCCCAGTTTGTTACAACTGTGTTTCTGTATTAGATTTTCTGGACCCTGACGGTATATATCTTAATAATAATATGCCTGTGATCTGACAGACAAACCTTTTTCGATATGTCCTACTTCAACACTAACTCAACTAGTGCTCGATAGTCCAAAGTGAGGTCGATAGAATGACGCCTGCTTAACGTCACGACAATCTCTTGAGATACTACAGCACTTCGGAGAAAAACGTCAGTATTCCCCTCGCTCCACATGCTGTAATAAGAGCTGAAATCGTACCTAACAAGAAGCGAAAGCCGTAGGTTCTCATGGTATCTGACCAATTCCCCTAGGCAAACTGTTACAGGAAGTTCTATTGAGTCGTAAGGAAAGTAAGCAAAGGAAGTGCAATATTTTTCAAGACATTGTTCTTAATGGCAATTTTTTGCCTACATGTAACCAAACTGCAGATAAAACAATATTTTTTTATTTCTTTTTTAGAAACTTTACGAAAATGGCCAGTGCAAGTTGCAATTGAAAGGGTATGCACTAAACCATATACCATAGAACCCAGCTCACCTGATGAAACACCAGTTCATTTTGAATTAGGATCCTCAATGATAGTCCCCACTTACGGAATACACCATAACCCGGAGTACTTTGCAGATCCCGAGATCTTCAATCCTGAAAGATTTAGCGACGAAAATAAAGCCGATATCAAACCATACGCCTTTCAACCATTTGGCGTAGGACCAAGAAATTGCATTGGTTCCAGATTTGCAATTTTGGAAACGAAAATTTTGTTCTTCTATATTTTAAAGGACTTTAGTATTGTCCCTACAGATAAGACCGTAATACCTGTTAAGATGGTCAATAATATTTTTTCTATAATGCCTAAACAAGGATTTAACATGGGATTTAAACGCATTTAAGTTATTTTTATTATTTTGCCATATATAATAAACTTTGTAACGCTTAACAAGTTAATAATAATAATATTAGTGATAAGCTTTGTTGAATACTAAATAAACTATTTTTGGTATCATATCTCTATAAGTTCATTTATTTCATTCTATTATAGTTATTATGTTGTTCAATGTTGTGTGAGATTTATTCCATACAAAAAAGTCCTTCGACGAATAGGTAGAAGTATTAAAGAAATCTGGAATGATCTGAAAGAGATCACCACATCTCACTCCTTTGAGACATGTTGCTACAGGAGAATCCACAGAATATCGTGGAATGAAAAAGTAACTAATATAGAGGTGTTACAAAGAATAAAGAAAGAATTGATGGATTCGACCGTTACTTGATGGAAATTCATTTTATGTAACAATAAAACACTGAAAACTTTGTTTTCAAACTTCCACAAAATTTATTTTAAATATTATCACTACAGCTGTTTCGGCTGATTGCCTTTCTCAAGTGATCTATTTTGGCTTGGGTTTACAAATTTATAGTCTCTAATGAAATAGGTTGAGGAGGGGAGAACTGTTTGTGTCATGTTGGTCATTCAGAATTATATCTGTGTTTTTTAATTTGTTGATTTCCATAGATTCTAACAAAGATAGCTTAAAGCCTTTATTTTGAATGTGAAGAATTTTAAATTTGTCATTAAAAGAATGATTATGATCTAGAAGGTGAAGTGCGTATGTCGAATCTGTTTTTCTATTCTTGAAAGCCCTTTTATGTTCTGCTATTCGTTTATCAAAGTTTCTACCAGTTTGACCGATGTAAGTTTTTGGGCAGTCGCCACATTGGAGTTTGTATACACCACTATTTAAGTGTTTTTTATTTTGGCTCTTGTTATTTTTAATATATTTGCCTAGGTTGTTATTTGTTCGGAAAGCTGGTGTTATTCCTTTCTTTTTTATGTGTTTGGCAATTTTTGTTGTTATTTTGCCTGTATATGTAATCGAGCAGAAGGTACTGGGTTTTTTCTCTGGTGGTGGAAATACTAATTTCAGGGCTTTCTTGTGTAGTTTTTGATTTAACATTTTATTAATTGTTTGTTCGTTGTATCCGTTGTTTACTGCTATTTGTTTAATTATATTTAATTCTGTCTCAAAGTTGTCTTTTGACATGTCAGAATTATCTAGGTTTCACAGGTAGAAAAATCACAAAATGTCTAGTATTGCTTAAAATGTCAGAAAGTGTATATAAACATAGCAATATGACAGTTCGAAAAACAGTAGTATTTTGAAGTTTATAGTTCATATTAGTTTTATTAGAGTATTATAAACAAGTTGGTGTTTAAATAAATTGACTTTAATAAAGTAAAGCATTGGTGACAGCGGTGGGATCAAAGAAACAGTTCTTCTTCTTAAGATGCCCTATCCCTTACCGAACTCTGGCTATAACTACAGCAAGTTGTTCTTTATTATGAGCTGTTCCTAGTATCGCATGTGTATCCATGCCTGTCCAGTCTCTTATATTTTTTAGTTAGGAGCATTTTTTTCTTCCTCGACCTCTTCTATTTTCTATTTTCCCTTTTATGATTAGTCGTAGGAAGTTATATTTTTCTCCTCTGTAAATATGTCCTAGATAACCTGTTTTTCTGGTTTTTACAATATTTAGGAGTTCTCTCTCAGTCCCCATTCTTGTCAGCACCTCCTTGTTGGTACGTGCTCTGTCCAAGAGATCTTCAACATCCTTCGAAAAAAGTCTCATACTTGTGATTCCGAGAGTCTATGTTTCCACTCCGTATAGCAATATGCAATAAATAAATGTTTTTACAAATAAGTAATCTATCTGTTTGTTGTAGATACGAATATTAGTGTTGGCACGTGTAACGGCCATTACTGTTGTTTAATTTGTGTTTATATTCAGCCCCAAGCTCTCTGATTATTGCATTCAAAAGTCGTTCTTGCAAACCCCTCAGCACTGTCCACAATAATGACGGTGTCGTCTGCGTATCTTAAGTTATTTACATATTTTCCGTTGATTTTTATTCCTTCTTCAATATTTTCGAGGGCATTTTGGAAGATCTTTTCGGAATGTATATTAAACTATACTGGTGACAATTTCAGAGGTAACTACAGCATTGGAAAACATTAAAAGAAATAAAGCTGCAGGAGAAGATAGTATTACCACAGATATGATATTAGAAGGAGGTAAGGAACTAATTGCAATTGTAACTAAACTTGTGGACAGTTGTTTACATCAGGGCAAAGTTCCTAAGAACTGGAACAACTCTAAAGTAATCTTATTACACAAGAAAGGTGATAGTCGAAAATTGGAAAACTACAGACCCATCAGCCTACTGTCACACCTGTTTAAAATACTTACCAAAGTCATAACTACTCGACTAACAAGGAAATTAGACGAATACCAACCATATGAACAGGCAGGTTTTAGAAAAGGCTACTCAACTTCCGATCACCTGTTAACCACAAAAATATTAATAGAAAAATGTAACGAATACAAGTCCCTAGCATTTGTAGACTACCGAAAAAGCTTTCGATACCATAGAACACACGACCGTAATAAATGCAGTGCAAAATTGTAGAATAGACAGCAGGTATATTAGCTTAATAAAAGAAACTATGAACCAAGCTACAGCTACATACTACCTAAATGAAAATAAACACACGAACCCTGTACCATTAAACAGGGGAGTTAAACAGGGAGACACAGTACAGAAAACTGTTTACATTATCCACAAGGAATCTACGTTCCTGTAGTTGGCTGTATACCATGTATTAAAATTAAATTAAAAATCCTTTATAATAGGTATATATTTTAGGCCCAAACGGGCTAAGTTAAAAAGACAAAACGTTTTCGGAAACCATGTTCCATCATCAGTGTCTAGGAGTACATCTTGGTGGCTACATTCATGTACTCCTAGACACTGATGATGGAACATGGTTTCCGAAAACGTTTTGTCTTTTTAACTTAGCCCGTTTGGGCCTAAAATATATACCTATTAAAAAGGATTTTTAATTAAATGTTTACATTAGTTTTGAAGGATGTTTTTAACAACCTACATTGGAAATATAAGGGAATAAACATCAATGGCCGCTACCTCAGTGATCTACGATTTGCAGATGACATAATCCTGATAGCTACTGACCTACAAGAAATGCAAACCATGCTTTTAGAACTACATACCGAATCTTCTAAAATAGGACTGAAAATGAATTTAAAAAAAAAATGCACTCCGAAGACACCGTGACAATAATAAACGATAAAGTTATAGAAAAAGTTGAAGAATATGTATACTTAGGGCAAAAAATAATCCTTAATAGGGAAATTCAAACTGAAGAAATAAAATGAAAAAGAAAGTTAGCTTGGGCAGCATTCGGTAAACTAAACTATATACTCAGAAATCAACAAATTCAATTACATCTTAGATCTAAAGTGTTTGATGCATGCATTATTCCGATATTAACTTATGCGGCACAAACATGGACAATCACAAAAAAGAATATGAATATACTTAGAGTCACTCAACACGCGATGGAAAGAGCAATGCTAGGTATATCACTTAAGGAGAAGAAAACAAACACATGGATAAGACAAAATACCAAAGTCACCGATGTGGTGCAAAAATCATTATAGTTGAAATGGGAATACGCTGGACATGTAGCTAGGAGCGATCTAAACAAATGGCACAGATCAATTTTAACCTGGAGACCATACCAACACAAAAGACCCAGAGGCAGACCTCCTATGAGATGGACAGATGATCTGAAAAGGACTGCCGGGAAAAATTGGCTACAAGTAGCGTACAATAAAAAACAAGGGAAAGGAAGACTTGAAGAGGCTTATGTTCAAATGTGGACGTGAATGGCTAGACGAAGAAGAAGAAGAATCTAAGGAAGCTTAGATTCTTCTTCTTCTTTGTTGGCCTAAATATTGATGTAGGATATAAACAGAAGGTCTTACAGGTCGCAGTGTGGAAAGGTTTTTAAGGTCAATAGACTCCTTTGAAACTAACAATCAACAATATGAGGTAGAGTATAAAATATAAAGGCGTTTATATATTGTTTGATAGATTATTTAAAATTTTTGTTTAATTTTTCACATCCTACATAGTATTAAGAGAAATAATACTCAATGTTTCTTCCTATTACATATACAACTCACAACGCTCGTCTATCGATTAAATAATAGTAATGCCCCTGTATTTCTGCAACACAGCCTACATAACTTTTTTCCCTATGAAATAAACCTACCCACTTTTGAGATTACTGGTTTTTATCACCGTTGCATACATTTTTTAGAGCAATGTTTTTTCCAGCACTCATTTCGCTTAGCTATCTATATTTTACATCGCATTACGTGATGTGGTCGCGGTTTCAAATCTGGGTACTATTATATCTTTTATGTGCTTTATCTACATCAAAATTGAGCTGGTGAATGAAATACACTGAAACTTTATTTTGTTTGTCAGAAGTCAGCTAAAAGTATGGCAAAAAGCTGATTGTAGCAATAACGAACACGTTTTGTACTATTGGGAAAACACATTCTTAAATTTTAATCAAATACATTATATTATAAAGGACAAAAGATCAATTTTTATTTTTAATTCCGCTGCTCTACTTTATATTTATTTTTTATACGATTTATCTTTCAAGAAACCATCTAATATTGGTGTAATATGGAAAAACTGTCTCAATCAAGAGGATGAGAGCATCCATTTACCTTTAACATGAGCCAGCATTCTTACAAAATAACAATCTCCTACACTACGTCTGTTTTAAATGCATTTTCTGCTTTTACTCCTGCTTTTTTAAGATTTCTCTAGGATTCTCTAGCTCAGTCATGTCAAACATGCGGCCCGCGGGCCGCATGCGGCCCTTCAGGCATTTTCTTGCGGCCCGCAGCCCGATCATATCAGGTAATTTTCTGCGGCCCAATGTATGTAGTACAATAGTTAAAAAATTTTATAAGAACGCATGAAGAGCACAGGGGCAGAAAATGGCTGTGCTTCTCTCCCGCACGCACTGTAACTGCAATACTTGAGAAGTACATATTGTGATTGTTATAAATGTCTTGTGAGAGAAGGGTCTGGTGATAAGGTGATAAAAATTAGCACCCCTGCG